CCCCGGCAGAAGAAGCCCCGACAGAAGCTGCCTTGGTGGCCCCCTCCGGCCCCGGAGGAAGAAGCCCTGGTGGCAGCTACCTTGGTGGCCCTCTCCACACCCCTCGCCGGGACCACGTTGGCAAGTGGGGTTTATTGATCTGTGTATACAGTGTTCCCTCGGTATTAGTATTTTAAATTAAATTTTATTGAAAAACCGTGAAACAGCAAGTCCGCAGGAAGCGAACCGCAGAGTACCGAGGGAACACTGTAAATAAAGTGTTGTTGTTATTGTTGCAGTTAAGAAAAATAAGTTTTGATTATAGATGTGGAAACCCTGTGGGGAGAGCAGAATTGAGCACAAAGACAGGGGAAAGATTATGAAATATCGAGACCTACAACTGTAGGTTCAGAGCCTCTGGGGAAAGAAAAAAGCTGCGGTTCCAATGGAGATGGGTGCTCTGGGAGCAATTCCAAACAAGCCGACAAAACATCTGAATGAAATCTTAATAGATAGAATTACAGTAGCACAACTGACACGACTTGGAACATGCTGTTTTATCTGACATCTCACTGAATCTTAGATACTTGGATGAAATACAAACCACTGATTGTCCAAAATTTCAATAAGAAACATCTTCTGGACTATGATACTGAAAATAATGCCTCCAAAATCCAGCACAGCTATCCATCTGAAAGCATTCAGTCTAGATTATTGCAATGTACCAAGTCGAGGTATATTGTCCATATCTAAACATGGCATGGGATGGTCCAGGAAGTCATGAAGAGTCAGAAGTGACTGAACAAATAAACACAAACACACATCCCTATTTTGCCCTCATTTAAATTTTGCTTTTGAAAAAACACACATATACAAATCAGTACATACACATGTACAAGATTTTTTTATATTTCATATCAAGAGCGACTTGAGAAACTTATGTACAAGATATTTCTACATAAAGTATCATCATCATTATTTGAAACATAACAAGATAAGTACACAGCTGGTTGTTGTATTGGATCACACGTCGGACACTTCCCAAGTGTCTAGGACTGTGTGATGTATCGACGAATAATGTGTGCAGATCCCATTAAGGTGACCTCTTGCAGCTGACAGATGGTAATTTTGCCAGCGCCAATTGTGTTTAAGTGCAGGCCAAGGTCTTCAGGCACTGCACCCAGTGTGCCGATCACCACTGGGACCATCTTGACTGGCTTGTGCCAGAGTCTTTGCAGTTCAATCCTTAAATCCTCATATCGTGTCAGCTTTTCCAGTTGTTTCTCTTCAATCCTGCTGTCACCTGGGATTGCAACATCGACAATCCATACTTGGTTTTTTAACATGATCATGAGGTCAGGAGACTTGTGCTCCAAAACTCTGTCTGTCTGAATTCGGAAGTCCCAGAGGAGTTTGGCGTGTTCATTCTCTGTAACTCTTTCTGGCTTGTGATCCCACCAGTTCTTTGTCGCAGGCAGATGGTATTTGTGGTACAAGTTCCAATGAATAATCTGAGCAATGGTGTTGTTCATCTGCTTGTCGTTTGTCTTTGTGATCTTCTTGCAGCAGCTGAGGATGTGACCTATTGCTTCATCTGCTTCCTTGCAGAGTCTGCACTTGGGATCTGTCGTTGACTTTTCAGTTTTGGTTTTGGTGGTATTTGTTCTAATGGTTTGTTCTTGGGCTGCCAGAATCAAGCCCTCCGTCTCCTTTTTCAACGTTCCATTTGTGAGCCACAGCCATTATTATTATTATTATTATTTTACTGACACGAAACCACAGTATGTCACAGCAAAAAAGATTTATATGCTGGATTTCATATCACAAAATCACAAGTCGAACACTTCCCAAGCGTCTAGGACTGTGTGATGTATTTTTGAATGATGCGCGCAGATCCAAGTCAGGTGGCCTTTTGCAATTGACAGACCATGATTTTGTCAATGTTGATTGTTTCCAATTGCCGGCTGAGATCTTTTAGCACGGCACCCAGTGCGCCAATGACCACTGGGACCAGAGCCTTTGCAGTTCGATTTTGAGGTCTTGATAACAGCTGAGTTTTTCCTGTTGTTTTTCCTCAATGTGTCTGTCACCTGGTAAGGCGACATCAATAATACAGACTTTTTCTTTTCCATAATTGTGATATCTGGCGAACTGTGTTCCAAAACTTTGTCAGTCTGAATTTGAAAGTCCCACAATATTTTGCATGTTCATTTTCCACGACCTTTGCGGGTTTATGATCCCACTAATTCTTTAGTGCTGGCAGGTGGTACTTGTGACATAAGTTCCAATTAATAATTTCGGCCATAATGAATCATTTGGGCCACAGAGTGTGTTTGTAGTCCATTGAGCAATTTTCTTGCAACAGCTGAGGATATGATCCATGGTTTCATCAGCTTACTTGCACAGTCTGCATTTTGGGTCATCCACTGATTTTTCAATCCTGGCCTTGATGGCATTGGTTCTGATGGCTTGCTCCTGGGCTGCAAGAATCAGGCCTTCTTCTGCCTCCTTCTTCAGGGTTCCATTCGTGAGCCATCACCAGGTCTTCTCCTTGTCAACTTTTCCTTCAATCTTCTCAAGGAACTGCCCATGCAAGGCTTTGTTGTGCCAGCTGTCAGTTCTGGTTTGGAGTGCAGTTTTCTTGTACTAACTCTTTGTCTGCTGTGCCTTGAGAAGTTTCAGATTATTGACTTCAATTAAAGCAGGTTCCTGGCTTTCCTTGACATATTCTGCCAGGGTCTCGTGTTTTTCTTCTTCGATTGGTTGTTTGACTTGTAAAAGTCCTCTGCCCCCAGACTTACTAGGCAGATAGAGCAGGTCAACATCACTGCGAGGATGTAATGAATTATGAATCGTCGTGAGTTTTCTTGTTTTTCTGTCCAATTTTTCCAGTTCTTCCTGTGTCCAGTTTATGATGCCAGCAGTATATCTTATGACAGGTATGGTATAATAATAATAATAATAATAATAATAATAATAATAATAATAATAATAACTCTCTTGTTAAGTTCCAAAAAAGTTAAAGTTCTCAGTCAGAAGCAGACTCACTGTGATCCTTGTCTGTGTACACAATAAATGCATATATGCTAAGGCGTCATATTTAGGTTTACTGCTGGGCACACAGTATTGGATGAAGCTTATTTCAGAGTTCACTGGGCTACAGCACTTTAAGAAAACTATCTTTTTCTTTTCTTCCTCTTCTTCTTCTTCATTCCACAAACCACAAACATTCTCCTTTCAATTAAAGCAGATCATCTTGCCCCATTTGTGTGTTCACTCTAAGATAATGTTCTTTATTATGAATGCATCTGAATTCAGTGAATTACCGCTATCCTATTTTTCTCATGGAAATGTTGGAGGGTATGCAAATGTGCAAGATTGCTGAACGAGACCCAAGACTCTTTAACGCACTCTCCCGCTCACTGTTGGACGGTTCCTGTCTAGGAGAGAGGCCTACTAGGAGGCAACTGTCTCTCTCTCTCAGCAGTGTGCTGGGCCCTCCAGTCCCACTCCATTACGGATTCATCACTGCAATCAGACCATGCCCACATCACAACTGGTCATCCCCAATCAACGTCAACATCGGGGAACTGTAAGAATGACACAGAGTGACACTTCACACTTGGCATTGTCAAAAATGTCACTTTGGTGAGTCCTCTTTGGCTGCACACAAACTGGCTTTCATTCATTCCCAATTAGCACTTCCTGCTCAATAAATCCATTCTGCTCACAAATAATATTAGCCCCAGACAAAACAAAACAAGCAGGGCTATGTCTTGCATCTCTTGGCACAAAACTCTGAAAGGCCTGTAGTTGAGAGCAGAAAGAGACACAGTGGACAACGAAGAGTCGCTACAGAAAGTAACTTTTTCACAACAGAATCCCTTCCCTAAAAATGTGTGAATTTTTTTAGTGTACTTCATTGTACGAGGGTTGAATGGCAAGTAACGCCTCCACCTTCGTTACTTGGGTTTGGATGGGAATATTTTAATAAATCAAATGCAAAAATAATCCTTAGAATGTATTCTTTAACTACCACTATTCACTTTCCCACATAATCACCAGACAATTGGATACATTTCTGCCAACGATGGACATGTTTTCTGAAGCCATCACGGAAGAAGTCGATACTCTGTTTCCGCAACCAGCATCTCACAGTTCTCTCAACATCTTCATCAGAAGTATAATGATGTCCCCGCAGATCTTATTTCATTATCGGGAACAGATGGAAGTCAGACAGTGCTAAATCTGGAGGCTGTTGTGCGGTGGTGAGATCCAGTCTCAGAAGTTTCAAGTCTGTGCACTTTCATTTCAGGCGTCAGCATCCTGAGTACCCATCGTGCACAGATCTTCCGATAGCCAAGCAAAGCAATAATGTGACCCACATTCTTTTGAAATGCCAATTATGCTTGAAATTTCTCTCTGAGTGATACGACAATCATCCTGAATCAATCTGTCAGCCTTTTGCTTGGGAAACTCGGTGGTTGCTGTCACAGGACTTCCAACTCTTTGTTTGTCATGCAAGTCAGATGTTCCCACCTCAACATCTTTAAACTTACTCGCCCAACGACGCACAGTACTCACATCAACACAATCACCATAAACAACTTGCATTCTCTGATTAATCCCCTTTGGGGTGACACCTTCTGCTGTCAAAATTTCAATGACTGCACATTGCTTAAGTCACATGAACAATCTGCGCAGGGTTCCATACTTTGCACTTTAACAATACAACCGTTCAATGCTAAGGCTTCCCGCCAAAATGGGACTGTAGAGGAGAGTCTACTGAACATGCCAGTACCTGCCGCATACCAGTACTGCCATCTGTTGAGGAGTTACAAAGATGGAGGCATTACTTTTCATTCAACCCTCGTATCTTAGTCTCTGAAGAGACTTGGGTTCCGGAGAAGACAAAGTACAGAACAAACTATTCCTGAAGGAGAATTAAGTTTCATGACAATGGAGTTTGCTACAAATCTACAAATCACAATTCTTTAAGTCTCATCTGGGAACGTTCTTACCTGCCCCTCTCCAACCGTCTCTGTATCGATAACAGTGATGATTCCAGGTATTAAAGGGCTGCGCCGGGTATTGCTGTGCGCCAATATCTCTTCCTCTGTTGCTCCTGATGGCAGGGTGCCTGTCAGCTGTGTCACGACTTTTCCAACCATGGTGAGTCCAGTTTTTATGGTCTACATTTAAAAAAAAAGATAGTCAACACAAGATGAACTGTTATTTTTGCCCTTGTTTCACAAAGTCACTCTGTTAATGATGTTGCTGCACCTCAACAAGAAGGAACAGCACACAGAAATTAATCAATAAATTTGTAATAAACTGCAACAGTTGTGTATTCATATTTGAACTGGGGAGATATGTACTCACTGTAAAATGTATGTGGATTCCAAAACAACTTTAATAACAACATACAATATGGAAACATTTAATTTTAAAATATTGCTGTTGTTATGATTATTGTTATTCCTCCAAGTATTTGTCAGACACCTGGCTAATCCCAAACTGTCACTCATCACACCAATCAATGTTGCACACCTCTATTCCCTGATGCACCTGAACTGGGAAGCCCTGGCCCTTGAGCACTCTAACTCGAGGTCAGCTGTGACCAGCAGTGCTGCAGAATCTGAAGAGGCACAAATGGAAGGTGAAAGGGAGAAATGTGCCAAGAGGAAGAAGACGCATCAAGCCAACCCTGATCGGGATTGCCTTCCACCTGGAAAATGATGCCCTCACTGTGGAAGAACATGCAGGCCAAGAATAGGGCTATACATTCACCTACAGACCCACCGCCAAGACACTACACTTGGAAGGCCATGATACTCGGAAGGAGAAGTAAGTAAGTAAGCTAAAAGGTATGGCCAACATTGTGCTGATTCTGGGAAACCAGAGATCAAATCTATGTATTGTCAAAGGCTTTCGTGGCTGGATGCACTGGGTTGTTGTAGGTTTTTCGGGCTATATGGCCATGTTCTAGAAGCATTCTCTCCTGATGTTTCACCTGCATCTATGGCAAGCTCCTCAGAGGTTGTGAGGTCCTCACTACCTCTGAGGTTGTGCCTAGGAGAGAATGCTTCTACAACATGGCCATATAGCCCCGAAAAACCTACAACAACCCAGAGATCAAATCCATACTCAGCATGGGAATGCAGTGGGTGACCTTGGGTAGATCACATTCTCTCAGCTTCAAAGAGAGGCAAATGAAAAACCTCTCTGATAAAAATTATTTCAAGAAAATCCAGTGACAGGTTGGCCTTATGCTCAACATAAGTGTTGCACCTCAGAATAGATTCACCTTGATGAAATCACCAGAATTGCACACAGACTGAAGTCTTTGTAGTTTATTAAAAAGTAAAAGATGAATAGTTTAAAAGTCAAATAGTGTTCCAAAGATTAATAAAACATAGCACTGTAAAGCAGAATTCCAAATGGCACCAACAAAATAAAGTCCCATGAGAACATGACAAAATCCCAAGACCATGGACACAGGAAAACGAGCACAAGCTGCTTGGTTGAGCGAGAAGTTGCTCTGACAAAGGTTTGTTTTCAAACACACTGCTTAATACCCTTTGCAATACATGAAAGCATTTCTTTGGCCTCTGACCTCCTTCTTGTTGGCTATTCTCACACTCCTTCGAACTCTGAATTCCAAACGGTCAGCCCGATCTAAGATTCCCGTTTCATCAAGGTCAGGCTGCTCATTAGTGTCAGCCTGGTTGCCTTCCTGCCTACTGTCAGGCTGAGAACTGTCCTCCTTTTCTGAGTCAATTTGCACCTGGCTAGTTTCAGTATCAAAAACATCATTCCCTGCTGTGGGAAACTGAACTTGCACACCCTGTTCCTCATTGTCTACAACAGGAACATTTTGAACCTGATTGTGAACCTGAATCCCATCATCCTCATCAGAGTCACTCTGAGTCACAACACTATCAGTCTGTGTCTGTGGTTCCAGCTGAGTCACAACAATAAGTTGGGAACAACTTGAAAACATACAACAGCAACAACCACAATGCTCAAAAATATAGCATCAGAGAGATCTGAGCCTGTGCTAACCCATCACATAGACCTAGTATCAGCCTCCTCAAGAATAAACCAAAAGGAACTCCAGCAGTGATAGAAATCAGAACAGAAAAATAAGGAAAATGACAAATGAAGCTCTCCTGTTCAAATTCCAAAGGTAGCGGGGGAAGGCAGGGAATCGGTTCAGATCATGGACTGGAGCAGAAGCCACAAATCAATTGCAACTGCTTTGTTTAGTGCTAAAAACTCAAACTGCAGTGATTAGAAAACACATTAGTGTTCATCAATTAGCAGCCAAGCGTTCAGCTTGAATTATTCATGGGGAAATGACTTACACACAAGACTCTGTTAGTGTGTTGTCAGGAAAACCTCTGAAGGGCCAACAGAACCAGGCGCCACTGTATCGACGGCACCGATTCAGCCAGGAAGCCCGATTAACCTCTGAGATGCCTCTGTTGATGTACTTACCCCATTAAAGCTAATGGAGATGCTACCACTTAAAGAAAGAAAGAAAGAAAGTCGGAGCCAGCCTATATCAAAGGGAAAAGTCTTTGGGTTTTCCGAGTCTCTTAGCAACAGACAGATCCCGTCATTGGTGCCTTAGCCTCCCCATGACTCCCACCAGCCCCCCTTTAACCCCCACCTCCAACCAAACAAATGGGAAGAAATAAAAAAATCCTTAAACAATTGGCAACCTGACAATTCTTGGAAAATAAGTCCGTACACAAAGAGGCAAATGGATGGAAGGCGCTCAGCCTCAGCGGGCCTATTTACACAGACATCCAGGGTAACAACTTGAGAAATCACTTCATCTTCTGGCTGGATATATATTAGGACCAGAGGATGGGGAATGCCTGAATCTAGACCAGCGTTTCTCAACCTGGGAGGTCACAAGGGAGTGTCAGAGGGGTCACCAAAGACCATCAAAAAACCAGTGTCCAGAAGAGGGCAACTAAAATGATCCAAGTGTCTGGAGAACAAGCCCTATGAGGAGCTGCTTAAAGAGCTGGGCATGTTTAGCCTGAAGAAGAGAAGTCTGAGAGGAGACATGATAGCCATGTATAAATATGTGAGATGAAGTCATAGGGAGGAGGCAGCAAGCTTGTTTTTTGCTGCCCTGCAGACTATTATTTACTATTTACAGTATTTGTATACTGCTTTTCTCACCCCGAGAGGGACTCAAAGCGGTTTTAGGAGCAATGGCTGCAAACTACAAGAAAGGAGATTCCATCTGAACATTAGGAAGAACTTCCTAACTATGAGAGCTGTTCAGCAGTGGAACTCTCTGCCCCGGAGTCTGGTGGAGGCTCCTTCTTTGGAGGCTGGATGGCCATCTGTCCGGGGTGCTTGGAATGTGATTTTCCTGCTTCTTGGCAGAATGGGGTTGCACTTGATGGCCCACGAGGTCTATTCAAACTAGGATTCTATGAACCAGGTTTCCATAACTCAAACAAACAAATACATAGTAGCTTTACATACAGCAGCTTTCACACTGGAGCTTTCTCACACGAGGCTTCGCTCACACTGAGGTTTACCTCACACTCCTCGGGACAACACCAGCTTTAGCCCACTTACTCTAACAGATTTCAGCCTGCTTACTCTCTCCTCAAGACGACACTAGCATTTTCTTGCTTCTTGGCAGGAGGTTGGATTGGATGGCCCATGAGGTCTCTTCCAACTCTATGATTCTATGAACTAGGTTTCCGTAACACAAACAAATACATAGTAGCTTTATATGCAGCAACCTTCACATGGGAGCTTTCTCACACAAGGCTTCTCTCACACAGAGGTTTACCTTGCAGTCCTCAGGACAGCACTAACTTTGGCTAACAGGCTTCGGCCTGCTCCCTCTCTCCTCAAGGCGACACTAGCTTTTTCTTGCTTCTTGGCAGTGGGTTGGACTGGATGGCCCTCGAGTTCTCTTCCAACTCTTATTCTATGAACTAGGTTTCCATAACACAAACAAACAAATACATAGTAGCTTTACACACAGTAGCCTTTACACTGGAGCTTTCTCACACGAGGCTTCTCTCACACTCCTCAGGACACCAGCTTTGGCCCAATAACTCTAACAGGCTTCGGCCTGCTCACTCTCTCCTCAAGACGACACTAGCTTTTTCCTGCTTCTTGGCAGAATGGGGTTGGACTGGATGGCCCACGAGGTCTCTTCCAACTTTATGATTCTATGAACTAGGTTTCCATAACACAAACAAACAAATACATAGTAGCTTTACACACAGCAGCCTTCACACTGGAACTTTCTCACACGAGGCTCCTCTCACACTACTCTCTCCTCAAGACGACACTAGCTTTTTCCTGCTTCTTGGCAGGGGTTTGGATTGAATGGCCCATGAGGTCTCTTCCAACTCTAGGATTCTATGAACTAGGTTTCCATAACACTAACAAACAAATGCATAGTAGCTTTACACGAAGCAGCCTTCACACTGGCGCTTTCTCACACGAGGCTTCTCTCACACCTAGGTTTATCTCACACTCCTCAGGACGACACCAGCTTTGGCCCACTAACTCTAACAGGCTTCGGCCTGCTCACTCTCTCCTCAAGACGACACTAGCTTTTTCCTGGATGGCCAACGAGATCTCTTCCAACTCTTTGATTCTATGACAGCCTCTTAGTCCCAGAATCCAGCCAGCACAGCCCTGAAGCTACCACCTCATTGCCCTTTACAGCACCCAGAACCTGATACCTGAGGCACAGTCCCACCTTGAGGGGAGAGAGAGTGTTTTTGCAAGGCCCAGCTCCATACCCCAACTTCCGTCTTTGACAAAGGAGGACTCTATACCTCTCATAAAAGCATCCCACACAAGAAGGGCTATACAGTACTAGGTTTCAAGGGCCTTCTTGGGAGAACGTGAAAATAAAATAAAAATACTATTTCCTATATAGAAAGGCACGCGCACAAACCCCACACTACCATTTCTGACAAGACATTAATCACTACCGTTTTATAATCCACAAGCGATTAAACAAACGTCTGTAATTACGAGCAGATGCACTACGCCAGGCAGCAGGAAAGGAACTGCATTATAAACGCACAGTAAATTTTACATAGAGAGAGATGATCTGATCAAAGAGCAGGTTAGAAAGAGCTTCATTTAATTTATTTATGCAGACAGAAGATGCCTTGTTACTGGAGGCATA